TAAACAAAAATCACGATCATTTTTTAACTTTCAATACAGAAATGCCATTAAGACCCTAAGGAAAGAGAACCCATTTCAGATTCTCACTTGACTGGAATTAAATGGGATTGTAATTTAACACAAAATACGTCATAATCCTATCAAAGACGGAGATATTATACGTCACGTTAATATTTAATGTGAGTAAATGTAAATTAAGCCATTTGTTAATATCAGACCCTGCGGGAAAAAGTTACACCTTCTAAATCTGTTTGCATCTTATTTCAATCATAACAACAACCTAAAGCTATGCGAAAAATGACAATAAAATAAATGGATCTATCTAGTCATTTCAGAAATAACGACTGCGGTCATGAGTGTGTGGATGATTAAGTCATTCCGTAATCTTTCATTCGTTGTATTTCTTTATATGGCTATAACCATTCGGAGACGTTTGTACCATGTACGATTGCTTTGGACCTGCACCGCAAATTTCTATAACAATATACAAGTAATAATTTTCAAAGTAATTATTGCAATCTCTAAGTATGTAAGTATATGTAAATTTAAATAAAAACAAAACTGATTTTAAAATTAACTACATCATGAGCTAGAAGACATTCAATCTGAGGACTGTTAATACGGAATTGTTCTTTGAAATATACATTGCAGAAAATCCTACAATTGATTCTAGGATACGTCAAAAATATACCATGCTCAAAAATATCGTATAGATTTTGTTTTTGTTGATTAAATTAAACATGCTTGAATACTTTAAATTCAGTATTTTAATTGAGTTGACATTGATTTCAATGAAGTACCTTCCTATTGCAAACGTCCAGAAATAATTGAAAAGATCATAATGATTGCTCCATTTAAGATCTATCTACATGCATCACTTTACTTCTATATCACCCACCCACGTCAGCCATAACGTTTCCTTTTTAAACTGGAAATACCAACAAGAGCTTAACTCTTCCTTTTCAAACTTAACATTTATGTAAGTTTAAAAACCAGATTACAAGGTATGAATATATAAACATTTAAAAATTTACCTGTAAATCCGCGTGTTTATTGCATTTATATTTCTATATACACCTCTCTTCCAAGAATATTTTTCTGGTTCTTCCTGTCTGCAGCTTTCGGTAATCTTTCATGCCATTCATATCTGTCCTGCGACAAAATATCAACACAGTGACTGATAAAAATGGCAGGATGATCTACCATCTCTGGGACCTTGGATTTAAATTATTTTCCGAAGTGAACAACTTTTTTTTTATTCCTAGGATGTGTATTGATAGACGAAGAATAGAATTTATAGTTTAATAGCGAACAAGCAAGCTTTAAATCCACCCACTTTATAATGCATGATGCACGTGGGTTGTTTCGGGAAGTATACATAGTGATCGTGTCCGCACGGAAAAAAAGACGATGATAATAGACTCTGAAAATAAAAATATCGTGCCAATGCAAAAGAATGAAATATAGAGGTAAAATCCCCTAAATTGTTTATACCCAATTTTAAAAAACTCAGCAAAAAACTGATCTCTGATCCTTTCTACCATCAGACCTACATGTGTATATAACTCGGGTACATCCTACATACGGTAAGTTTAACTACGTATAAAATACAAGTAGCTGAAAAAAAAATTAATATGACATGCCTCACACCAAAGACAAACAAAAACGAGGCTATATGACACAAATATGCGATTAGAGGCTTTTACAACGCCATACCCTAAAGAAGATGCTGATGAATTAAATGAATAGCGAAATTGTACACACATAATTGATCAAAGGTAAAACTACTCAAGCATTGGTCCTATTAAAGCGGGGAAAAATTTGTTCATGTTGATAGAAGCGAGACCGTAAAACCCATCCGACAGTCTCTGCTGCTTAAAACAAGGCAGCGACTGACGGATAGGGCAAACCGTCCCGACTGACTGAAAGTGGAAGGTCATACCCAAAAGCATGTTCAAAACGAAAGATATTTACTTCTTTAATGGAAGCAATCACAAAAAATTAAATTTCACATTGACTTGAAAAGGCTTTCCTTTCTACTACTATGAACATGTATCCCTTAACTAAAGCAATCTAATCAATACGTATCTTTAGACTCAAATAATGTAGTTTACGAAAAGGGATGTTACAAGTATGAGGCATGTAATGATTATTTCTTAGACACATCAAGGAAATAAATCTGAAATATATATAAAGCACCGTATAAATTTCTTTGATGTCACCGAAAAGTTTTACAATTAATAAAGAAAGAAGATATCATTATTAAAGAAAAATTTCCGTAAATTAAATATCATGGTATGTTTTTATATGAATCAATTATCAGTCACGAAAATAAAATACGGAAACAGAACTGTAAAGTAAACTTTGTAGGGACTACGAAAGAACGTGCCTCAATCTTAGACAAAAGAGGAGCATTACATGTACAAGAAAACCGTCTCACAAATAATAACACTGGCATATTTACTTTTAAAAGTGAAAACAGTAAGTTGGGGCATACATGAAGTGCAAAGTCTTCTTTGTTTTCATTAGCAAAGATCACATGCTAGCACTTACAGAATGAAAAATCCCATGAGATATTTTTGTGCACCTTGTCATTTTAAGCGGTGAGTAGTTTTCATGTGACTAAAGCCAGGAAATACAACAGCGCAAATAACAGTAATAAAAAGCGTAGGATGAAATCTTTAAAATAAATAAATTATAAAGTATTGCGCAAAAGGAAAGAAATAAGTATAAACTTCTGTTATTTTCTCTATGTTCTACGAAAAGGGCGAGGCTTGTGTCGCCTCGTATTTAAGTTTTTAGGGATTTTTATTTAAGTAAGGATTGTCTAATTTTGTCATATTTTGCGCACGTAACTAGTATAAAATGATAATGGTGAATTATATTTATTTTTTTAATTTCAAACGGTGAAATGACATTTAAACTATTTTTTGTCATATTACTGACAATATGATCATATAACAGAAACTTAAATGTCACCCCGACAAACATTCTATTCTACATAATATAGCCAGGATAAAAAACATCATTAACTTACATTTTGGTTGAAAAAGAAAATCCACTGTAATTCAAATTCCATTTATGCACACATATTATACATACCCATTTTATATATTGTACATATACATTTGACGGTCTGAAATTGAACCACCCACGATGTTTAATTTTCAAAAGATCTTTACAGAGCCACGCAAACAAATCAAATTCATTTTAACGCCTTACATTCCATCGTGTCTATCAGGGTTCAATAATTTACTTACCTTAACTTACCTTTTCTCAAAGCTTTCACATGATCACACAATGACGAAAGTTGCGACATGTTTGTGCACACATGGGATAGGAACGCCAACCATGCTAACAATGTTGACCTACAGGTGTGACCAAAGTTTAAAGTTGAGGTGGACTTATTCTTTCGGGCTTTACAAATAAAATTAACTCGATACGAATTTTTCAGGTTATTTGTTGTAATTATTTGGTTTTCATAAAATCTTGATCCGTCTAAAGTATATGAAAAAATGGATGAGAAAATATCGAATCCCGTTAACAAATACAAGCTATTTTCCATATATTTACCAGAGCCCTTAATTTTTTTGTCCTACATGTATTTAACTAAAAAAGAAAAAAAAAAGAAAAGAAATTTGCATAGTATTGAGGTAATTTGCCGTCAGTAACAATTAAATCTTAATAAATAATATCTGTATTAAACTGGAAAAAGAAAATGACCTCCTTATTCTCTAATAAAGAATATATTTTCTATTTTAAATCGTTAATTTAATATTTATCCGTCACCTTTGAAACAGCACCCCCTCCTCCCTTCCCCAAAGACAAACAAACAAAACAAAACATGTTTTATGCAAAACTTAAGTCGAAAATGTTTTATAAAAGGTTCCGTCTAATTACTTCGGCTAGTTAATTATTGAACTTACATGTAGTTCAGAAATTGACTATGCATTAAGTATATTTATTCCGCCTGATCTTTGTCATTCTATGACTAACACAATCATATTTTCTGCGGAGTCCTACAGAACGTTGATCTATTCCAGACTTGGTTAATGTAAGAATCAAATTTGGGTGTTAACTTTCGCACACCACTGTAAAACGTAAATATAGTAAAGACATGAATGGAGCTTAACTCATTCATATTTCTTATCGTCATGACGAGCTCTACGCCCACACATCGTACGTTTTAAGATATCGTGAAAGAGGGGTGAATGTTCACGATCATAGGAGGATGACCAGTTTAAAAAAAAGATACCTTCTTTTCTCGATTAAGATGATTATTTTCTCCTTCTTATTACCAAGTATTGATTGTCGATCTATATATCTATACAAGTCTGAAGATTTGTTTTTGCCTTTTTCCGTGCCCTACTGTGTTAAAAGAATTAACTATAACATAACGCTGTTACAAGACGTGAACTTTACAGGAACGGTTCACGGAGGTCATGGAAGAAACATGTTTTTGATATCACAGAAACCACAACTATGTACAAATACTGCATTAACAACATAAGAATCTTAACGAGCTTTGATCATATTTGATACGTATACAGAAAAAACGTGTGCCGTACATAAAAATGTGTGCCCGAGTAATGACGCTTGGTACAGCTTGCATGATAACGTATAATAAATTAATAGTGTGTACTATAAAGTAATTTACACGAAGTACACATGGACCAATCAAAAGGCACATGGCAGCAACTTCCTTTTTCTGGTACACTGTCTACTTAAAGTCGTTTCCTAATGACTTCCGGAGCGCAAATATGGAGACAGAAGGAAGGTTTCAATGCTTGACCAATCCTTCCACTTTCAATTACAGGTCATTTTATCTGTCGTGAAGACCTTTTGCTACTACGTTATATTACTTTACATTCTATATATAGAAAATATACACCAATTTAGAATCGCGCTAAATGTACCTTACAGATATCCTTGGCCTAAGATTTGAAAGCGAATACATTTATCAAATTAAACAATATAAAATACGTTCTCAAAACGAAATACTGATTAGTGTATCGCACTTAGTTTTTTCTCAGCAATAAAACAAGGTGACGGCTATATCCGTTGTGCCCTTTTCAAACCTGTTAGCACGACACGTGCAACAATATAATTCACTGATGGCGTCCATTACAAAGCTACCAACAGGCCCCCTTCGGTGTCTAAAACCATCGAATCTAGCCCCATTCAGCAAAATTCTCCCTTGATTGTGCCTGAAAAAGTTTAATTTTCTGTTGTCACTTTAATTATCCTTTTACACAATGCCCTCACGAGATGAGCACATAAATACACGGTGACCCCGACTGGGGTCATGTGCCCCGACTAGCAGGAGCACCGAACAGGCAGTCAGTTATCGCTTTGAATGTCAGACTACCTCTTTTTGACAAAGACCATTCTTGATATCAGCCCACCCCTGAATCAAAAGATATAAAAATCACAGTCTATCTGACATTTTGCTTCACACCAATTAAGCGATGTCTGCAGATGCACGTGTTTGTCTCGATGGTAGATCAACCCTCCAACCATGGTACATATTTATATTAATTGTTACCAAAAAACTATTTCTTAGGAATCATCCTTTTGTTTAATTTTATTATCGCGGTAGTTTACTAAATAGTCTTGGCGTACGTAGTTAAATGGTATACCTTTTCAGATCATTAATAAAATATTTACTTGTCTGATTAACACGAATTCAATTTAGATCGAGGGATATCATAGTTACTATCGTTCAATAGTTTGATTGGGGTAGCTAAAATCACGGGCACCTGACAAACTTTCAACCCACTCTGTGGTTTTAGATTACCTGAACAAAGAATTAGTATTCCAACACACAGGTAGGAGTGTATTGGTCAAATATGACAAGCCGAAAGACAGGGCAAAACATCTGTCGCAAAGAATGACAAGAATTTGCGCGGGATTCTTCGTACTTGTGAGAACAAAATCTACTTTCTGAAAATGAGAATTTGCTTTGTATATGATAGAGACTTGGAAATTAGATGCTCTATCTTAACTATAAATGAAATGTAAAATTATAATCTGTCCGTTATCACAGCTGTTACTTAGAAAAAAAATGTTCCATTATCCCCCTCACACCTTACCTACTTCTAGGACAATCGCTTCAAAATCGGTCCAATACGTTTTTTTTAAATGAAATAGTCAAAGAAACCCATCGACCTACTTGTCTGGCAATAAAATGGGGCGATGACCCTCCCAATCAAATCCAGTCTCCCATGGTGAGAGGAGGTTACGAGGGGAATTCCCGATTCGGTTCACTGATATATGAATGCGTAGCTTTGTTCTCGTTTCTGTCTGAGGAGTTTCCGATTTTTTGCGGTCAGTGACTTTTTTTACTCTACATGTCCGTGAAGGATGGTGACATGGGCTTCTCACTAAAAATATCACAAATATCTTTTATTTTAAAGATACGCGTTTCAGTATGCGTGCATAATTCATAGTCCAAACAAAAGACCTAAATCTAGGTTTTCGATTTTTTCCCCAACCATTAATTTTAGCTATTTTTTGTTTGGTTTCAATGACCGGTTTGCATGTCGTTGACCTAAGAAATGACCACCGTCAATCAAATGATTTGTCTGCACTGAAACATCAAGCTTTCATACACAAGACGTGCTTGATCATAAAGCTATAATTAATCCTCTGCTTCGTTTGGTGGTCCATAAACTACCTACATCAAGCTATACGGATCGATCGACATGTGTCCCGATTGACTTAAAATGTTGTGTATAGATATAAATATATTCAAAACAAAGAAGCTATAAAAAGATTACTTACCAGCTTACCTAATCGTTTAATAAAAACTGCGTAGTTTTTTTTCTTACGAAAGGTTATTTTTGGCAAGATTTCCCTTCTTTTACATCATCCTTATATTTAGGAAAGAGATTTTTTTTTCAATAAATCTTAAAATACCCATTAACTTGAATATCATATCAATAACAAAAACATAATATCTGGATTACCATTAACAAATTAAAGAAATATTTGTTTTAGCTAGCGCTCCTCATTTATTTTATATTAACACGATTAAAAATCTACGTCATTTTTATTACATGGTTCAATGAATCATCGTCAATGAGTACACACTTTACCTTTAAATAAAGAATATTGAACGTGTATTAATGTGAGTATATCTCTAAAAATGATTAATTTTACACGATTGCTATTTTTCAAAATGATAACCAGAGTTACAAATGTATTAAAAATAATTTTTAAAATAATTTTAATCCCTACAGTGGAGAAAAAATAATAATAATACTTTAATCAAACGGTTTTGATATTCTTTCTTATTTTTTAATTTGATAATAGTTTTACATTCAAGGAATTCCATAGGTATTGTCTGATAAGACGCCTTATTAATATAATCGACCCTTACCTTTCTAACTGGAGTCCCGTCTGCTTCACTCCTCACGTGGCCTTTTCGTCGTCTGCTGGTTTCATCGATCCCGGATATGCTCCAGTGATGACTAGGCATGCGTCGCACTCAGTCACCTTTCATTCAAAAAAAATCTTCCAATGAAGTCTTTAGTTCCTGTGCACTTTAAAGAGCAAAACAACTCATTTCAATGAAAGAAATTATTTTTTTCAGATTAGTTTTAATGATAAATTAAAATCAGCTCTCAGGATCGCGAGAACGATTATACTATTTGTTATGAAATGTCTCTATCAGTATGTATATAAGTACGAAGTGTCTCGATCAGTATATATAAAGTACGCACACCCACCAATGTAATAAAAAACAAAACGTTACCCCGCGCTCAAATTCTTTTTCAATCGCATATATAGTTTACATAGAAAGTATTAGGTAATAAGTGATTGTACAATAACATTGGAACGTGAGGAGGATGACTTTGTGACTCGTATCAAACTGACAAAGACCTCTTGATGTAATGCGTTATTTATTTAATCATTTTACGTTCTTTCAAAAACGAGGACGTGCCACTTCTTTCACGTGGAAAAAAAGAGACAACAGCGTACGGCATTTGGTCATTAAATCAAAGTATGTCATTTTTAATTTGCGTATTTTCAAACTGATCTACTGATTGTAATGCGTATGTTTTATTTAAACCGTATTTCTGAGCAACGGAAAATCTTTACTGAATTTTTTCGTTTTTATTTCTTTGATGTTAGCTTCTGTCTTCTATTATAATTCAATAGTTGAATCTTCCTTTAGCCTTTGCATAGTTTCCTTGTTATGAACTGTGAATTTCCTTGTTTGTGAAGTATGATAAAACAATTATTCATTTCTGTAATTAAAAAAGAAAATTTTATGAGGATAAGAATTTATTTCCCTTTTACTTAATAATTACCTTGAAAAATATAAAATTCCTCTTCTCTCGCAGAAAAAAATTCTTTCATCCTAAAGTCCAACTGTGTAAGATATAATTTGTACGTCCCCAAATTCATAAAATCAAGCACAATGCAAGTATGCGTTAATTTTTACTTTCTTCTTCCTAATGAACACGCAAATATAACAGAATTTGAAAAACGGATGCAACTCATGCCTCTTCCGTTCAAAGTAGAAGCTTGCGTCACACATGACGTATTTTACTTGATAAGAGCTAGTCTTTCCAGGACCAAGCTCATGTTCGCTTTAGTTAAGGATGTCCCTCATATATCCGTTCCAGGTTGTCAAAATGTTCAACCCCAACAAACATTGGAGGTCACATTGAGTTAGAAAAAACTCACACGTAAAATTTCATTCATCTTTTTTGTTCTCCCTAAGAACAATTAATACCGGAAGCACGAGCACATGAGAAGATCTCCGAAAATCTGGGTGCCTTGTACGTTTATTTTGTCAACTGGATAAACCATTGACAATTAAATTGGTTGCTATTGTACTTCAAGTATTGTTTTAGTTAGTAGAGAGCGTAGAAGTGTCACAATGCATAAATTAGATAAATAAATACGAGATATATAGTGTTTACACAGTAAATATATTCTTTTAACAACACATACAGTGTAATCTACAGTGAACAAACTAAATAAAATACCTAACTTATTTTTACACTTTGATCTTTTTTATCCTTGAAAAATATCCTCAGATACAATTTTCGAGTTTGGCGTTTGCCAGAAAACCCCAAGAAGATGCGAATGCTATACAGATAAAATAATGGTAAATTACAGAATGCTAAAAGCGCAGTTAATAATTAATGCAAATGTCGATCTGACACCTACAAGGGATTTGCCATTTTTACCCCCATCCCGTGCACCACTGCACTCTCCCTTTCAACAAGAATCAATTCAGCAAATTAAACCAATGGTTCAAATACCTTCCATGAGTCTGGATTGCTACAGCGTTAGCTAGCTAAATAGTATCTACCTGTATAAAAGGAAAGCTTGTATTCCGAGACACACTCATATAGAAAAATAGGTTTCTTTTATGTTTCATTAGTGAATTGATTTATGCCAAACATTTTGTAAAATCTCAAAATGAAATTGAAAATAAATTGATGTGTATTAGTCTCTTTCAATTACATGTTTATTGAAATATAAATTACTAATAAATAATAATTATGAAATTTACAACAAAAATATTGTGTCCATGGAAATTTTAAATAAATAATGCTCATTTTGAACGAAGTAAAATACAGATGTTATTTTTACTGTTTACTATACATAGTGTCATTTATGTCTTTAGCTGGTAACAATGTCATTTTTTTAAAACTAAAAATGAAAACAGGGGAAGGTTCCAATATAACATAGTAATTCATTTTATTGAATAAGGGACAACAGAGTGGATAACGAAGTTAAGAAAAAATAGACAAAATCTACCAAGTTGTTTGTTTCGCCTTTTTCATAAAATAAGATAATGTATAATAATATACATGTAAATAGTATTGTAATGATTCGCACGATAATAATTTAGACATTAAAATAAACTTTTAGAAGGAGAATAGAAAACATTTCTCTTTCATTTCACAGCCTTGTACAAATGTCAATGTTATATTCTATAAAATTAGTAGTAAAAAGTTTTTTTTTATCGATTCTGTCTATTTTTAAACACAGCATGCTGCAATTATTTTGTCAATATTCTCAATCCTGTACACGATTCGTGGGTGTCTTTAGGTATTCTCACTAAATTGATTGTAAACCTCAATGTTACGACAACTAAACAATGAGCATTTTTGCGTCACTTTGTCATTTTGATAACTAATTTATAAAATTCATTCTGCTCACCATTTATTTCCGGGCTTGTCCTCCGGATCCGTAGCGGATGTTATAACCCGAATACTGTCAACAAGTCTCCACAAGTTTAATGCCATTCCTTGGATATCTTTTTTCTTTGTATGGTGTACATCTGCTACAGTTTGACCATTCTGAAATTTAGATGATCATATGTTGCATCATACATTATATCAATTTCTAATATCTTGACAGGGAAGCGTTATTCAAACTGCTGAATATATTGTTTTCAACACCAACAAAATATATCAAGTCGTAATCTAAATAAACCTCCACACGAGGGGCTAGAAAGTCACAAAATTTGATCGACCATATGTAAGGTTGATTATATGCCCGAAATAATCTACTATTTCATGAGGTGTAATATTTCAATAAAATTTACATTGCATGAGTTACTGACAAATTTAATCATCAACTTAACGAATGACTAGAAAGAGAAGATTGGATTACTGTAGACGTACTTTCTTCAGCGGGGTCATAATTCCACGGAATCTCAATTTCTGTTTAATCCGCGGGTAGAAAAGTACGCGGATTTCTTAGACTGTCATTATATGCCTTACATTTTCATTAAGTACGCTTGGAGAAATTTCCGCGGAAAATTTGTGACCGCGTACATAGCGTAAATTAATACCACGCGGAAAAAAGTACTTATACAGTATTCTTTTCATGAAAATTCAAGAAAACTCACTTCCATAATTGGCCGTCATCTCAGATTTCACACAGAATAAAACATTATGTTTAAAATATAAAAAAAATATAAACTTTAGCTTGTTTTGATCTTATTTTCGATACATACGATATGGTCATTTAATAAGCTCTTGTGAACCTATGCGTTTAGATTTCAGCCTGCTGATGATGCAGACGGTTTCCGGTCATTGGTTGAAAAGAGAGTGACGCGCCTGGAAACCAAGTCGTTGACTTGTGACCGATAAAAGGTGGACGCCCTTTTACATGTATACATAAAAGTAGCAGAAACAGATCTCTGTAACATTTTCTCTTTTTTTCTGAATATTTTGTTAACGATGTGTTGTCATCGAGATAAAACAAATATATAGCAACAACAAAGTCTGCTACCGTGCTATTTTTATAGCGGAGTAGTACAGTTATATGTTTTGAACTATTGTTACTGATTGTTATTGTAGTATTAACCCACATATCAAAATGACGAGTGCGTAAGTAGGCGTGATGGTCAAGGTTGGGTTGTTTGTTGTAATTTGGTTGCTGTTATTTTTATAACTATTCCTATTTTTCTTTGAAATACCTGTGAAATAAAATAAAATTAACAGACAGAATAAGCATACTATTTTACACACATGCTGGTACAATTTTCATTTGATAATAATCTTGTGTGACATTGTAAATTCCTTTTTTAATCCGTAAAGAAAATGAGAACAATGATTATCTTCATGTTAAACGAAATAAAAAATTCAAAAACAAACTTCTGGTAAGGGGGTGGTATAAAGCTGTCAATGGACAAATAACCGCTTACTTGTATTCTACAAACAGTTGAATTTTCTGTTTGTTTGAAAAGTTATACCACTTTGCACTACATGTACGCGTCAATTTGGCTCGCACATTTTATTCTATAATTCAAAGAACACGCGCCAAATTACAGTGTTCAGTAGGTGACCACTCACGCATGACTCTATGATTAATTAATCAATCACAGTTGAAATCCATTCGTACTTGATGATTGCTCCGATATGCATATTTTAAAAAAGATGAATATGATATTTTGTTTTCTTCTGCAACTGCGCAATAGAAGCGCTATGACAAAGCAGTTGTGGCCCGTGGGAGGGCAGATGTGATTATTCGTTAAATGAATTCAGGGTTGCGCGACTCATTCATAAAACCATCAAAAGGAGTTTTACTACACATCTGCATAATTTTACCAGCTATGAACCACATGAAAAGTGTGTGAAATTGCACAAATTCCACAACAAATTTCTATGAATGAGCATTTAGGAAAACAGGAAACAAACATTGCAGGTGGCCATTTGTCCCTATCAAATAGAAATGTTAATTTTGTTTACTAAGATACCCGAAATCTAAATATTGGATCACATATTTCTCTTATTTATAGCTAAGTAATGTATCAGGGCTTTTATATCAAAATCAGTTACCGCTTAATATATTAGAAATGAAAAACCGATCGCGCGAACGTCTGATGTGGGAAATCGGCCAAACTTGTTAGATGAACGGGTGAAACCGCAAAAAAGAAAACAGAACCACAAAGAGGGGCGATTTCGACAAGAACGCCGATATATGGGATGGACCAAACAGTCTCTGGATCCATCCTACAACCGCAAATGACATATGGCAATGTGTGTCTTTGTTACCCCTTGTGACTAATTAAAGCATTTTAGACCTTTTAATGCTTGCACTTAACAAACTTTTTTGTTTGTTTCATTTCCAATGCAAAGTTCAATTAAGTACAAAGGCTTATTATTCTACTATTAAAATTATTTTAACAATGGTCTTTGAATACAGATTTTAAATCAATAAATTTCAGGTTGAAACTTCATTCAACTATGATTAGAATAATTTTAAGAATGAGCTTTGAATGTCGGTTAAATCATTAAAGGTTAAAGGTGGAATATCCTTATAGGCTAGTTAACATAGAATAATACTGCACCTCTACAGGTTAGAATGCAAATGCTAGTATTACAATTGTCCCCAATAGGGATATAAAAGTTAATAAGTGAGGTTGTTTCAAACAAGTATTATTATGAAAGATTAACCAAATGTTCGCCCCTTATCCTTTCCAACAAAAATCGAAGGTGCGAAAACTAATCCCTTGCGAAGGTTGTCAAACAAAGAGAACTCTAAAGTTGTTTTGACCAATTTTGTCGGAGACATTCCGGCTAAACCACACAAAGAAAATAAAATGAAAGATAGCACATTGCGATTGTTAGATATTTTATAAGCAATCGCCACATGGTTCCCGTATGTACATTAGGGAGTGCACATACTTGTGGTAAAGGGTTGATCTGAGTCAGCCGCGAAAAGCTTGCCTGACCATGTTTGCCGAAAATGAAACAAAGAGTTAGGATGGTCAAGTGAGTTATCTTCCTTGATGCTATCTATTTCCTGTTATTATTCTTTCTAACGTCTGTTTACATAAGTATACTAAAATTTGAATAACACTATGGCCCAACTGACTGATTGAAAAAGTTCACTACATCTCCAATATTTCAGTTTTTCAGCCAGGACACTGCTAATGTGTTATAGATTGGTAAATTAGCGCTTGTTTTGATTTTTGAAAATTAAATCAAACACTTTTTCCAAATTTTTTCATGGTACACAAATTTTAGTAGTATTAGTTATACAAATACGTATAATGCAAATTAATATGTATATGTCGACTACGATTTTGACTAATTTATCCTCCGTCATGCATGTCCTATCAGGGTAGGCAACACAACATCTTTAAGTTT